ACTTTTCCAGTGCAATTTCTTATTTCTAAAATATCTCACCTATTTCTCTCTGCCCAGATGTGTCTAGAAGACACAGCTAAAGAGACTGCCTCTTGGCCTGCCCTGGGCTTCAGTTATGACATTTGATGACTGAGCCATGTTTATACAACTCAGTTGGCACTAAGTATACACAAGATTATAACCATCTTCAGAACAGAAATATTTAAACTCAATTACAAAGACTATTTTTGCACACTATTATTACTGTTAAATCCCTCTTTTATAGTTCCCTAGGTATGAGGAGAGAGAAATTTGGAAAACATTAGCAAGAAAGTCAAAGAATTGTAGTGGTATTCAATATCAACAATCACAGTTACACTAATTGTAGCCACTGTTATAAACTTGGATCAGGGGAAGAGAGTAGTAAGAGTTTATCCCTCAGATTGGGTGTGGGCATCAGTTTAGGGAACATCTCCAAAGGTGCGAAGTGTTTGGAAATGAGCTGCTTCCAGGGTATCGATCTCTGCATTGGTAAAAGTGCAGAATTCTGTGTTCTTGGAGCTCTCCCTTTCTCTGACGCTCAGCTCCACACCTTCACAGAAACGCCACTGTGCTTGACTCGGATGGTTTCTCAAACAGCAAATGAAGACAACCCAAGATTATGCTCCAGAGAATGGCAATGGGTTGCCAGTCTATCCCTTGCTTAGAACTGGGTATGAAGTTTTTTGAGTACTCCGGACACTCCGAAGTATTTTTTCACCGAATTAACAAATTAGATTTTCAACATGTACATAAAATACTGAAGATGGTCTATTAAATAAGGTGCTTAATGCAATAGGTAGAATAGAAAAGCATGGTTTATAAATGAAGACTTTATAAAATATTTTTCATGACCACTCTAGAATAAGGACTTTGAAATGGTTTCGTGGTCTGAATCTGTGAGTCCATAATACTGACTCATCAGAAATACTTTAAGACTTGGGTAGACTTCCGGATGGACAAGAGGAGACAGTGGGTCTGGACTCACGAGGAGCTTCCCAGGTGAAATCTGAAAATGATCCCCTTCACACACACACAGGAGGCAAGGAGACACCAAAGCAAAAGGCAGACTACCCCAGATTGGTAGGGGGCAGGGTTAATGAGAAAGAGAACTTACATTCAAGGCTTGAGTGACCACAAGACAAATAGATCTCTGCATCTGCCGTCCAGAATCTAAAAGTTTGTAAGAGGCCTGGCAGGTGTGGCTCAGTGGATTGAGCATCATCCCATGGACTGCGAGGTCTTGGTTTGATTCTTGGTCAGGGCACATGCCTGGGTTTCAGGCTCGATCCCCAGTGTGGGGCATGCAGGAGGCAACCGATCAGTGTTTCTCTCTCACATCAATGTTTGTATCTCTCTCTTCCTCTCTCTCTAAAAAATCATTAAAAACATATTTTAAGAGTTAAAAAAATAAAAAAGAAATAAAAGTTTGTAAGAGGCCTTAATGGGATGCAGTCACCTATTCAGTCCAGGTGGTCTCCACAACACCTCAGTCTCTCAAGAATTCATCCTCGAAACAGCTCCCATTGGGAGGACAGTGGGCAGCACATGGGTCCCAAGGACAGGAGAGGGGTTTGGAGCCTCTGGTTGACTGGGTCCAGCTTGAGTGTCAAGTCCTCTTGACAGCCCTCCAGCAGGCTCTTTGCAGGCTCTCTCTCATGAAGCCCACTGAGCACTCACTGAACAGAAAAATGCCACAGATATTGGAGGGTGGACAGTATCCCTGCAAAGAGGGCGAGACACTTCAGCCAGAAGAACAAAGGCAATGACCTGGGGTGGGGATATGAAGGTGCTGGCCGTAAGGTGATGGTGAACACTTGTTGCTGCTGGGGAAAGGGGACTGGAGCGGGGAAAGGCCATTCCTGCAACAAGGGTTGGGATTGGGTGCTGAACCCGCAGCTGCAGCAGGGAAGGAGCAGGAGAACGGAGACACAGGCATGCCTGAGAGCCCTAATCAGAACACAGCCGCACCTCCTCCCCCACCCTGAAGCTAAGAAGCTTCCAGTGGCAAATGACAGCTAAATACTGCTGGACCAGGAACGGGAGAAGGACAAGGATGTGCAAAGAGAACCTCTTTGAGGCACAGCTCAAGGGGAAGACCTGAAACTCAGACTCAAACAGGCATTGATCTCTTACACATCCACCACCCTAGATACAAGCTATAGGAGTTTGAAACCTATGATGCTCTGAAACCGTAGCAAAAACAACAATGACAAAAACTCATCCAATTACTAACTGAATTAATGCAAGGCCTTCCATCGCGGTTCTAGCACAAGGAAAGGCATGTTCAAGTCCAGGTATAGAAACCACACACCTTAGTTTCTACTGGTTTACACAATACACTTGGCTTTTAACCAAAATTTAGGAGGCATACAAGAAAAGCAAGTAAAAAACCCACATGCTTCCAAATGCCAGAGTAATGCTAAGAAATAATTTTCAGATTTACTATAAAGTGACAGTAATTAAGTGGTATAGGTCAAAAAAATAAATTTATAGATAACTGGAACAGAAGAGAGTTCTGAAATATACCCACACAAATATAATCAACTGATTTTTGACAATGCATATCTTACATCTTATATAAGAATTACTCAATTATCAGATTAGTATCAACAGTAATTAGCCATGCTGATATCTTCTGCCCCTGATATGATGTGAGAAAGGACATTATCTATGTGATATTCTTTCCTATAATGTCAGTTTATTCATGAGAAACATCAGACAAAATGATTGGGGCTTTTTTTTGGTTAATGTTCACCTGAGGATATTTTTTCATGAATTTTTAGATAGAGTAGAAGGGAAGGAGGGAAGAAGAGAGAAAGAGAGAAACAGAGATGTGAGAGACACATCAGTTGGTATGTACCTTTGACTGGGGATTGAAACCTTGACCCTTTGGTCTGCAGGTCGACGCTCCTAACCACTGAGCCAAACCAGCCAGGGCTGATTGGGGCATATTTTACAAAATACCTTACTACGGATACTTTATACTATCTTTTCCATGATTCTGTGCATCTAAAATCATTTAAAAATTAAAAGTTTGAAAAGAGAGAAACTGACATGAACTAGTATATTATATCTCCCTTGGAGGAGAAGCTTGAGGTAGACCTAACCCAACGGAGCATTTCAATGATTTATACTCGAGATCATTAACTTTCAGACTTTTCTTCAACTCAAATGATGGGTGTAGGTGACTTCATTACTTGTAAATGGGGATTTGGGTGGAGAAACAGGAGCTCTGAAGGAAAGGGCAGGCTACGAGCTAACTTCTGTCCTTCTGCTTCTCCCTGCAACGCTTAATTTCCACAGTTTTCTCCATTTCAAGTGTTGCAACATTGGGGCTCTCTGGGTTTGAGCCTCTTGACTTCCCCTCTGCTTTTTATTTCCCCAGAGGAATGAGTTTGTGTAGTGTCTACCTGGATCTGCTCTTCGGTCAAAGAGCCGAGACCGATCTGATGTCACAAAGGCAGGCTTGCTCGGTGCCCACGTTGAATTCGAAGTCATCGTGAAGTGAGAGGAAAGACGAACACAGGCTGGGGATGGATGGGCCACAGTGGGCCCTGCTCACAGTAGCCCCTTCTTGGGGATTGCCACTGGCCATGTCTTTAAACCAATATAGGACAACCAGCACTTCTCTCCTGGGAATTTGAAATTTTGAACTGGAAGATACAGAAATGTTAAGATCAGGAAACAGTGCAGGATTTCTGCCCACAATGGTGCCCAAGTTACCTTAATTCTGCCATTTGCGAGGCTTGGATACAGCTTATATTAGTTTCCAGTGGCTGTTGTAGCAAATTACCACCAACTGGATGCCTTAAAACAACAGATTGATTAATTCTCTTGTAGTTCTGGAGACCAGAAGTCCAAAATCAAGAAGTCAGCAAGACTGCTCCCCAGAGGCTCCAGGGGATGGTCTTTTCCTTGCGTCCCCTCACTTCCTTGGCTGATGATTAAATTACTCCCACCCCCATCTCTGTCTACATCACCTTCTCTTCTGTCTGTCTCCTCTGTGTGACTCTTACAAAGACACTTGTCATTGGATTCAGGGCCCGCCTAAAATCCAGGATGATTTTGTCATCTCAAAATCCTTAATTACATCTGCAAAGACCCTTTTTCTAAATAAGGTAACAGTTACAAGTTCTGCAGATTATAAAGTGAACCGATTTGGGGAAGGGGCACCATTCAACCCAATGCATCACCCTTCCAATTAATGTTTTCTTAAACTAGGTAGTGACAGTTTCTATAACTTGTAACCAAAATAACTGACGTAGTTGGCCTCACCATGCTCACGTCAGCAGTTATAAGGGCTTTGCGCAAACTTTATGCTGCACTTGACTTCAAAAGTCCAGTTTTTGTGTAAAAAGTGCTTTACATCATGTTGCAAGTTTCTGCTCTTCTCCCAAACTGTATCGATAAATTAGCCCAGAAATCTGCATTTTTAACAATTCCCAGACGTCCTTGTGTATAAGAACAGAGACACTTATAAAACCTCAGACCCCATAATACCCCATTCAAATAAAAACAGAGAAAAAGCAATGAAAAATAACTTGAAAACTTTAATGATGTTGTTTATATAGCAAAAACATAAAATCTTTTAAATAAGGTACATTCAATTTCTCAGCGCATCTAATATTCAGATAATTTATATTTCAAACAGTTTCCAACATTAAACAATTGACTAAATAACGCATTTTGTGTAAAATGATACCATAGCTTATTTAGGTAAAATTATATTACAAAAATACTCCACACAGGAAAAATGGCAGTACCAGTAGGAGACGCTACAGACTTTCCATTGAAAAATATATTTAATCTCTTTCATTTGTCATAATAAACAGAATATATAAATTTTTTCTTTCTAAAATTAAGTCCACACAATTTTTCTTTAGGATGATAATATGTACAAACCTTACATCTGACTGAATATAAATAGTAAATACTGTAATAGTGTTACAGATATATTAGTACTTTTACAGGGGGAAAAAATGGCTTTCTAATAAAAGCTTCTAGGCAGCTGAAATCTGAAATTATTTAAGTTAGACATTCCCGTCTTTAGTAAGGCACAATGGGGTCTAGTTTTTTATTTCCAGTTGAATTACTTCAAGCAGTAACAAGGGAAAACAGTCAGTAGATATTGGACCAGATCTGTCAGTTGGATAAACTATTTGGGGTTTATTGAACTTTGGGGGGAGAAGTTAGTTCTTTCTCCATACCATAGTTTTTGTTTGTTTTGTTTTGACTTTTGGTGCCCTGGGGCCAAATCTAGCCCTCAGCACGAGAAAGAAATCATGTACCCCCTGGACTCCCTCAAGTGCCTGAGAAACAGTTCACTCCTCCATCAGATCTGGTCCACAGTGAGCAAACAGCCCAGTGGCCCTTCCCAGTTATAAGCAGCTTATTTTTACTGATTGGACCTGGTTCCCTATCATTTCTAAAAACAGCTTCTGATACAGTCTGTACATGGTGAGGCTGTGGAGGAACCGGATGGTCTTCTTCAGGCTCTGCGCGACCGTCTTGGGGAAGCGGTGCGTTTTCAAGTGCTTCAGGGCGTGCACGAGGCCCTTCAGCGTGTCCTGGTCGCCGTTTCGGAGTCTCCACAGGCTGAGCAGCTTCAGGATCTGCTGGCCGGCTTGGCAGGCCTCCCTCGTGGTTTCGATGTCTTCCGCGGTGACCTTCTTCCCGGGCAGGCTGTCCATCAGGCTGCGCAGCTGCTCCAAGGTGAGGTTTGTGTGCGCCAGGTGCCTGTGCACGCTCTTTTCGCAGAGGTCGATGTCTGCAGAGGCAGAGACACAGTCACGCGTCGTCTTCCAAGGCCACCACCCCACCCGAGGCAAGGCCGCCACCCCACCCGAGGCAGAGGCTCTCCGCGTCTCAGAACTTGAACGATAACCTTTTCCTGTACTTATGTATTTATGTATTTATTTTGCAGGGGGGCCGGGGAGGGGGCTTAAGTGATGTTAGTTATTTCTGAGCACTGAGATGAATGGCGTGTTGGGTTATTGTAGGATAATATGCCATACATCCTAGGCTTCCGACAAAGCTCGGGCAGGAGCCCTCATTTTGGAAATCACTGGTAGAAAATTACTGGCATTGTCAGTTTTGTTAAAAAAAAACATTTGAGAAAGGAAAACCATAACATTTCAGAGAAACAGAAAGTATTCAAGTTAGTTGTTTCTAATATAAACTTTCATTCGTTGACATCTAACATATGGGCTGTTTTAAAAGACGCAGTTGCTTCAGATGGTCTTTGATACATAGCAGGAGAGAATTACCACCACAGAGAAGAAAATGTAAAAGCCCAGTAGGATGAGGCCAGGAATGTGGTGATACACACCGCCTGCGGAATATTTCTATTTCCATAATGAGCGAGGACATAAACATAAGAAGGAGTAACTAATGTTTCTATTAATGACACGAGTCATTTAGTATCTGAGCCCTAAGGCACGGCAGTTCATCTTTCTGGGTTGAAATGTCCTCCTTTATAAAAAAGGGATTTTGTCCCTTCCAACGCTAAGTTTCTGATTCTCTGTTTCCCTTTCTTTTTGCTTCAGGGCTAATTATACTTCCAAAGAATACATTTTGTTTGTGGAAAACAGAAGAAAAGTTTACTCTTTGCACAAGTCAAAGCATTTAGCTGTGAAAATGTTAGCCTCCTAACATCTGTTGCCTCCGTTTTAGAGGTTTGAGGCTTTTAGGGTAGGCTCCTTGGTCATTTTGCTCGAGTGAAGAGAATGAATTTCTCATTGACGTTGTCTGCCTTATAAAAACCTCCTTCATTTTCCTCTGCCATGTCCTCCCCTTGCTGATTGAATTCAGAACTCTTTGTGCTGTATAACCTAAAGCTTCTGGTCCACAATGTATGAAATTGACTTTTCCCTTCGGAGTCTCTCATCAACATCATCACCTCCCCACAAACACACGCGCGCACACACTCACGTGCTAAAGGAGATTCTTTAAAAAACTCTAAAAGTGGTTTTAACTAGCCCTGTTCTCCAAGAAACTCAAACACTTTACAGACCTTATCTCATTAATCCTTACAACATATGCTATTAAAATGGTAATTTTAAAATAGGCTATGTAGTGAGGATTAATGAGGCTATCTGTAAGACACTGGGAGGCTCTCTAGAGAGAATTACCAAATAAATACAATGGAGCTTCTTGGTGGAAATGCAAGGTAAGATTCAAAGTGGTTAAAGAACTTTTAGGAAGGTCGGAGGGGACACTAATAAAACCGCTAAGGAAGTTAGAAGAAGATCCTGAGGTCTAGCCCTGCACTTGAAATGCATCAGGGCTTCTTTATACACTAAAAACATAGAGGCGGGGGGTGGGGGCAGGTGGGGGCGGGTGGGGGTGGTGAGAATAAGATCCTGCACGACTGCTCAGGGAACAGTGTCTACACCATCATTTCGTGAAAACTTTTTCATCCCATAATAATTTCAGAAAGGAAACATCATCCACACAACTAAACCCATGATTAAAGGGTGTCTCTGATTTCCGCTCGACTTGTTTATTTCAGGATACCATACCTTGAATGATCTTCTTGACCATGTCCTGGTCTTTGTTTTGATGTTTCCATAACTTCAGCAGCTGGAAAGTCTGTTCTTGTGAGCTGTGTCGTCTTTTTATCCTCTCTACACTCTCTGTGTTTACTTTGGTGCCAGGCAGGTTGTCCACCAGGACACTGAGCCAGTTAGGGGTAAACTTGGTAGGGACAGCAAACCGGAAGAATGCCTCCTCGCACAGGGTGACATCTAAAGGGAAGTGGGAAAACCGAGATTTACTCAACAGTTGGATGCTTGGAAGCCTGTTGGACAAAATCCATACGCTAACGTGCAAAATGTGAATCAAATCAGCCTTCTGTTGGCTGGTCTTAGTGGTAGGTTGCCATTCAAACGGGGCTGTGTCTTCTCTAATGTTCTTTTAGGGCATTTGCAGAGAGAAAGTTTAATAAATGTTTAATAAGAACACAATATTGCTATAAATAAATTACAGCAAAAATTCTATGATTTAATGTAAATATTAACATTCTGTGAAAGGTTATTTGATATTTCAAGGATATTTCAAGATCATAGGATATTTCAAGATCAGTGCCAAAACAAATGCAATCATTGCTTTAGAAGGAGCTAGAAAGTGATCTGGAACAGTGTATTATTTTTGTACAAACACAAACACATAGTTTACATTTTGGAATAAGTATATATATAAACATATAAGCATATCTCAAATGAGAAAATAGTCACACTCGAAAAACCATGTCATCTAGAAAAGAGGTACAATGGCCCAATGTCGGGGTAGGGTCAGTGTATCCCAGGGATTACGAGTTTGTCTTTGGACTCATCAGGCCTGGGTTTGAACCCTGGCTCTGCTCTTCATGCCCGATATTGAACTTGAGCAACCTTCACAGTGTCTTTGTAAAGATTAAAGCCCATATTGCAAAGAACCTGGCATACAGTAAGTGCTCAGTGAGTGCCGAAAATAAAAGTTTAAAGGTATCAAAGAGGATGTTGAAGTTAGAAGTCACTCCTCTTACTACCCGTTCCCTTATTCCATTTTTTTTAGATAAGAAAGCAGAAAGGCTGAATGACTCGTCTAAGGTTGCGATTACACAGTGAGACAGTGTTGGGACTGGGCTGGAACCTTTCATCTCCTAGTCCACATTCCTATGCCTCATACACGTCTGTGTCCTACAAACAGATCGTGGAGGAGTCGAGCTGGTTCATGATGCTGTTTAGCTAAATGCTAAGAGACAGATTATCCTTAGTGCAATGAGACCTTGGTAGAAGGTGTGAGATTAGTCTAGTGGTTGGAGTGACAGGGTGAAGACACCAATCTGATTAGTGGCATTGCCAACGTGAGATACATTCCAATAACTCAAGCTTGGACCTAATGACCCTCCTGAATAAAGAGTTTGACACAGAGGAATGTGGAACCTCCGTGCAATCGATGCAGCATACCACAGGGAAAAGCCAGTTTTACATTTCTAATTTGTCATCAATTTATGTCACTGTGCTTCTTAGTTGTCAATGTACACTTTGGTTAATAACACAGGTACTCTTAAAAGTGATAAAAATGGCACAGCCGGTGTAGCTCAGTGGATTGAGCATTGCCCCATGGACTGAGAGGTCTGGGTTCAATTCCCATTCAGGGCACAAGCCCGGGGTACAGGCTCGATCCTCACTAGGGGGCGTGAAAGAGGCAGCCGATCCATGTTTCTCTTTCACATTACTGTTTCTAACTCTCTCCCTCTCTTTCTAAAACATCAATAAAAACATATATTTTTTAAAAAAGTGATAAAAATATATAACAGAAAATTCTGCTAGGGTTTAGAGCATGATCTATGAGAAGACGAGGACTTTTTGAAGGACCCTGAGTTGTGGCTTTCCCAGTGATGCACAGAGAATGGTCTTGAGTAGAATGCAGGTTAAAACGCAAGAAAGAAAATATGAGCTTGACGAAGAAGGTGGCCAGAGGGTCTTGTGTTCCTCCCCGGCGGTGGAGGGCTGACGTTCTGATTGATAGTTACCTATGCCACATTTGTGCGTCGACTCACTGCTTCTGGAACATACACTGTCGTGCGTCGCATTTCCCCTCTGAGTCAGAAGGAGACCGAACGCGCTGCAGTTGGTGTGTTTCCTACAGGGTGCTTTGGAGGACGTCTCATTCGAGAAGAACCCATCTGGACATCTTCCGCAAACCGTGTTTCGCTCCGGGGTTCCTGCGGAAAATACCGAGCCACTGAGCACCTTCTTCTCAAACACTGTCACAGCAGATACCCTCTCGACAAAGTTTGAGAAAGACTTTTCCCTTAACTGCTGTGTTGCTATGCTTTGATTATGAATGCTGCACCAGACCGCAGGCATTCCGACTTTTCACTTCGTGCCACGGACAGAACAGAACTGCAGATGGCGGTCCCTCGGCAGGCTCCCCTCCTAGTCATACAAATGCAAGTTTGTTTCTCTGTTACCTACTAAACACTTCGGAAATGTGAGAGGGGAGGGAAGAAGGGAGGGTGTTCCTCTGTCCTGAGTGATCTGCAAGGCCAGTAGGTCTCGTCCACCACATTCCTAACACGTCATCCTGGAAAAGCATCAGGGGAGCTGCAGTGGAAGTGAGGTGACCCCTTCTCCGAAATCAGTGCCCACTGACTGCTGCATTGTTAAATTCCAGTGTTAAATTCCTACCGAGGTTCTTTCTTTCCCGAATCATAATTGCGAAGCTACTCATAAGCATGCTAACCTTGAGAAGTAAAAATTTACAGCATTATCATAAACTTCTGAAGGTGGCAATAAAGTTGGCCGCTGACTCCAAAGCGTCAGCCTGCAGTTAAGCTCCACAGTAAATGGAAGATGATATACCGTTTGCTTAAACTGTTGAGTTTTAAAAGAGGCTGGTCGTTAAAATTTCAGGGCAGGGGGACTGCAAGGGCATTTTATTTCACGGTGGAAAAATACTTGACAAATTTGGAGAAATCATTGGTAGGCAAACTTGAACCAGTCAACAACTAAAGATGCCATTAAAACGAAATACCTTCAAACCCTTGACTCTGTTATTCATGGATAAATCATACATTACAGTGCATTTGCATATGAAAATACCTCCATCTAGTGTAAGCTAGTTGAACAGATTTAGACTCCAGTGTTCAAACGGGGCTTTTACAGGCCAATTCTCGCTTATGCAAGACAACAAATGAAAGGGGACAAATGAAAGCTATGGAAAGTTAATAAACTTCAGTTATTACGAATTCGAACCTTTCACCTCATTGTATCCAATCTGGGGGAGGGGGGGAGGGAGAGCAAAATGGTTTGCTTCTAGTTTTATCTCCTGCTTCTTCTAAAGAGAGTAATGATGCATTGACCAGCAACAAGGACGAAGGGCTGGCAAAAGAAAAGAGAAGAGAAGCCAGAGGCAGACAACCTTCACATGTGCAATGCCACCTCCACTGTTACAGTGACGACATCTTGGGAACTGACGTACAGAGAGGGCACATTTTTTTTAAAGTACTCTCTTACTATATTCCTCTTTTTAAATGACATGCAACTGCACACCAAATTCTATAACAGCTTGAGTGAAGGTATTTGGGCAGGGAGTCCATGGTATTCTTTCATGGCTAATATTCTGGAAGTAAGTGGACCTGGACACCAGGATCCAAGTCCCCCTTTGCCACCTGCCACATGTTCTGGAAAGCCAACTGCGCAAAGAAGTTGTCATTCTTCAGACACACATTGATGGTTTGGGTCTTTTTTATTTTATTATTTTTATTTTCTGGAGGAGAAGGGGGTGGTGAGGGGGAGCTTGGATCTTTATATGCACCCCAATGAGAAAGTCATTGGTGTAAGACATTCTTTCCGGTAGCTTAACCTTTAAAGTTCTTTAACAAAAGAAATCCAAAAATGATAGAAATCAAGTTTCTTAATGTCTCTGGAGGCTTTATATAATGACCTTGCTGAATAGGACTTTCCAGTTTTACGACTGGTAGAATTTTTTTATAAAGGAAGATTTATCCATCTAAGTAAAGGATGTTACCTTACTAATATCAGTGGAAACATACAGCGTACAATCTGGCAGGTCAAATGTCAAATATCATAATGATGAGAGAAGTTAGGTTCTACAGCTGAGAATTTCACCATGTTGGTCATAACTAATGACATAGGAATTATAAGACTAACTGATAGCCCTGGCTGGTTTGGCTCAGCGGCTAGAGCATCCGCTGGGTCTGGTTCCTACTAAGGGCACGTACCTCGGTTGCAGTTTGTCCCCGGCCCTGGTTGGGTCATGCGGGTGGCAGCCATGTCGCTGTGTGTCCCTTTCATGTCGATGTCTCTCTCTCTCTCTCTCTCTCTCTTCCTCCCTCCCACTCTATCTGAACATGATATCAAGGTATGTCCTCAGGTGAGGATAAAAAAAAAAAGACTAACTGATAACATAAAGTTAATAAAATATGGAGACAATCTGATGTCAAAACAACAACAACAAAAAAGGAATGGTTAATGAATACTCTCTAGAATAACATGGCATAGTACTTCCTTCTCTTTGGGCTGGAAACTCGCACTGTCCATGAGGAACTCCTTGGTGGACTTTAGGGAGGGGCGGTGGAGAAGCCCCACTGTGAATAAACAGAATAAACGTGTGTCTTGGCCCCAGTTGTCTGGCTGGCAGCTTGCTTCATTCTGCAAGCAGATTCCCATGTTTACGTGAGAAAAATCCTTGCTATTTCCATTATTTTTTTGAAACTTTCTAATTTCCAAGCTGCCTCGACCCTTCATTAATTTTTCTAAATATACAACTTACTGAACTGAGTTAAACAAATTTGGTTTTGTTGGATTGGCTTTTCCCTTCTACAGCTTGGCTTAGCTTTTGCGTCCCAAAGTATCATCCAAGAAAAACTAGGAAGTGCCACCAATTATGCCCTCGAATACTCCTCCGAGAGGTATTTTTAAGGAACTCTCATGCAATTTGGACCTTCTGTGATTAATCTGACAAGATTAGCAATTTAGGAAACAGTCGATTTCAATTTTTGAATATGTTTGCTTTGTATTTGCCACCTAACACATTAAAGTCTGTACATCTTTTAATTTGAAAATTAAAAGAATTCCAAATAATTAGCATCCTCTAAAACAGTGGTTGTCAACCAGGGGCAATTTTGCCATTAGGGCACAATTGGTAATATCTGGAGACATTTTCGGTTGTCACCACTGGGGGGTGGAGCATCTAGTGACTAGAGACCAGGGGTGCTGCTTAGCACTCGACCATGCACAAGACTGCTGCTCCAAAAAGAATTACCCTGTCCAAAATGTCAGTGGTGCAGAGGCTGAGATACTGCTTCAAACTGAGTGATCAGAATCTGTACTGATGACTATTTCCTCCAGAAATTAAGTGAATTACTCTTCACTTGCCCAAGCTATGAGACTACATGGAAGCTTTGTGAATGTGATAGAAAAAAAAAAAAAATGTGGGTTGCAGCTTTAAAAGATTCAGTGCACACTGGCCTTAACCTATGCTGTGCAAAAGGTACTTTGTTTGTAGACAAGTACTTCCTCTTGGCTTGACAATCTGTTTTGTCTAAGATAAAGAAAAAGCTCATTGACGAGATAGGGCTGCAGTCTTTATCCTCCCAGACACTCAACTCGCATGTCAAAGGAAGAAGTAGCTTCATTTTTTTTATAATGAAATGCATTTTCCCTAACCATTCTCATTTTTTGCATAATTAATTACAACTGCTCATTGTTAGCATTGCAGAGCCTCGTCAATATCAGCATAATGACTCTCTTGGTGTCAATTAAGATTTCTGATGTCAAAAGGCACCGCAGTTTGAAGCCGTCCGAGCTGAAGTGAACCATAGCGGCATCTCTCAGCTATAAACAGTGCAGCTCGGAGTGTGTCCCTTTAAAAACACTATCCATCCTGCATCTCATTAGAGAGCAATTTGCTGCATTTGAGATTTGTCACTAAATCACCCTGGAGTGGCAGAGGATTCCTCTGAGAAAGAGTCGTCTGGCAGCCATCCAGACAGATGCACAGCACATATCACGCAGGTTCCATTACCTTTGCCATTTGCTATCCTGACTATCATCAGACAAAAGTGTTGCCTTCAGCGTTCCTGCTACTAGACTCCGAACGATGCTAATTCATCTTGCTGCCTGGACAGCCGCTACATACCAGCTTGTACCACGCCGAACCCGGGCGGGCAGCTCCGGTGCTTCAGGCAGAACTCCACCTCCAGGTACCGCCCTTCCTCGCACTCACACACGCGGTTGTGGGTGCGACTGCACTCCTGCTTGACGTGCTGCAGCTCCTTGCACGCGGTGTTGCAGTACAGACACTCGTCGCTGGTGTGCCAGGCGTCCGTGTAGTAGTTGTCAGCACAGGGCGCGCACACGGTCTTCCGCCTTGCTGTGCAGTGCTGTTTTAAGTAGGTTCCAGGGGGACACTTGTCACACATCAGCTGGCGAGAGGTTTCTGGGTCATAATGAAGGTACTTCGGAGGAAAGGCTTCCTGGGTGGTCCATTTGATGGAGATGTCCAGGAACTAGAAGGAGAAAGACAGTGGTGGCGATGTCAGCATGGAAATAGGGTGGTTCTTCGGGGCAGAGGTATCACAAGAATCAGAATCCCTTACGAACTTCCTGCCTCCTGAGCGGTTCTACAAAGTAAATTCAGAGGCCGTAATTCTTGCCCTCTATTAGCTGAATCTCCAAGACCGAGGCAGTGATGGCAGCACACCTGTATTAAGTAAGACCTGCTCATAGATAACTGGACCAGAAAGCTTATCAAAATAGAAATTACTCCAGTTAGGTGCACTACGAAATAACCCCATGGCCTCAAAGACACCCCATCTCCTTGGACTTCAGGGTTCTCTCTAGATGACGGAGTTGGATGGACTAGTGGTTCTCAGAAGGGCCACACCACACTCCTTGGTAAAAATGGAGATTTCTAGGACCTGCATCCCTAAACATTCTGATTCCACAGGTGTGGAACTGAGTTAGGGATTCGAGAAAAACTTTTGCAGTGATTCTGATGGATGGAGTCTGTACTCAAAAATTATTCTTTTGTTTATTCACTTGATAAATAGTCATTGAGCCCTTACTATGTGCCAAACTCTGTTCTGGGCCATTGGGAAGCATGAGGGAATAAAACAGGCAAGAAACCCTGCTGTTGTGGAGTTGACAATCCATTTGGGGGAGTGAGGAAATAAATAACAAACTTACAGATAAGTCACATATTAGAAGAAAAGTGTTGTAAAAAAAAAAATTAGCAAGTAAAAGATTGAAAACTTGGAGGTGATGGGAGAAATTACAATATTTAAATGGGGAGGTCCCAGTAGCCATGTTTAGGACTGAATGATATCTCCCTTTTAGTTCATCCATTCTAAGACTTGATGAAGTAAAGAGGTAGGGATGTGCAAAGTGTATATGATGATATCATCAGTCATCCTGATCATTCATTCATTCATTCATTCATTCCACAGATACGCTTTGAATGCCTACCAGGAATATACCAGGAATATGCTGGTGAGTAAGGCATAGTCCCTATCCCCACAGATCTTGCAATCCACTGGAAAGAGTCCTAGAATGTTAAGACTGATGTTTCCTCCGGAACCTCACTTAGCCCAGTCTTGACTCTCATGGGTCAATGACGTCTAGAAAATTAAATGACCACCTCTTTTCAGGTTCACTGGGAAAAACTTCAGGGAGCAGACAGGGTTTCCTAAGTATCCATACATATGGCAGCAAGAATTCTATGCAGCAGAAGAAGGAGGATTTTGTGAGCAAGGCTGCTGCTTGGAAGGGCAGCTCCGACTAGGTGTTGTCTTCTAGTCTAGATCTCAAAGGGTCTTCCAGGAGCACGGAAGTCGCTCTTCACGCTAACTGCAGGAAACACACGCTCGGGAGAAACCGTTAATTGTGTGTAGGGGTGCTTTGTTTGGTTTGTATTATTTGTTTTTGGGAAAGGGATCAACACTGACTATTTTCAGGCTTTGGGGAGGTGGCAGACCAAATACAATAAACTTTTCCCAACTCTCTTCTTTGCAGAACTCAGGAAATTTCAAAGAAACCCCTTGACCTGGGAAAAATCATACCACACTAGAGAAACGGCACTCCCTCTGGAGTTAGGAGGGACAAAGGTAAGTGGCATTTGGTCATTTTAATCCGAGTAATTTCATTCACTTCTTATTGGAACCCAACAAGCATTGGGGCTGACCGAACCTGCTATGAGCTGATAAACCAGAAGGAAAAAAACAAAGTATCTCACTTAGGGCCATGGACCGTCTATCCAAGATACATTTTCAAAGTGCTGTGATGTGAAAGACTCCTAACCAACAAAACATAGAATACAGCACAAAATCAGGGTGACACCCTCATAACCTGAGGTTTTCTGGGGGAACATATTCTTAAAGTTCCTAGTGGTTTCTTATTGGCTCAGCTGGAGTGGGTGGACATTAGAAGAAAGAAGTGAACCAGAACTGGGTGCAAGTATTGGTTTGCTCTCCATCTTTCAGGAATAGATGGAATCTATTCATCCAACACCCATGTATTGCGTACCCACTGTATACCAGGCACTGGAGAAGGAACTTAGCATATGGTAGTGCACAAAACAAAGATGGGCCATGCCCTCTGGAGCTCACAGTCTAGCGAGGAGGCAGACAGCAGAGAAGAAATAAATAATTACAAATAATGATCAGTGTCGTAAAGGAAACAAAGCAAGATGCAATGACTTTGTGGCTTCTTGGTCATTTGAATATATTATGCCACATCTTTCAAGGCCCCTTGTGCAGAGTTGGCTCACGTGTTTCTAAAATCCTCAATGCTAGGAAAAAATTTCTGTGGTACAACTTGCAGAGACAAGGAAAGAAATGAGAAATGATTCTTTTCTCTTGCTGTTCACTTTGGAAGGATCCGTTGCTTTCAAGATGCCTGTCTTGCAGGCTACTAAGGAGTGAGCTCCACCCTGGTAGAGCTGCAGTCCTGAGCCCTCCTGCAGCCCAACTTCCCAGCATCCCCCCTTTCCCATTTCAGTGCGGTTCAGCTGTGCCCACTTCCTCAGTGCTGACTCTCTTCTCCCTTATCAAGAAGTGGTGAGGCCCGGCCGGGGTGGCTCAGTGGTTGAGCATGGACCCATGCACCAAGAGGTTGCCGGTTCAATTCCCGGTCAGGGCGCATGCCCGTGTTGTGGGCCTGATCCCCAGTTGGGGGCACGCTGGGGACGGCCAATCAATAATCTCTTTTATTCATGTTTCTGCCTCTCTTCTCCTTCCTCTCTCTCTAAAACCAATAAAGAAAAAATTTAAAAAAAAAGTGATGAGGACAGGGCGGGAAACCCCCTAGATAATGCCTGTGTTCCTCTCTGGAGGAGCCGTGCACATGCAAATGCAAGGTCCGACCAAGGAGGCTGCATCGATGCGTGTTTTCCAGGCCATTGGACGTGATACTGGTGGTTTCCTGAAGCCATGCTTTGAAAATGTGTTCCCATTTCTTCAAACTACAGAGAAGTTGTGAAGGGAATCCACAGAGAAAAATATAAACAAGGTTGACTTAAGGAATAGAGAGCAATTGTATCGTTGTAGGCAGTTTCCCCAAGGCCCCTGCGTAGATCATCCTATATATTTACACACAAAAAAAAAAAAACAAAAAAAAAAACACACAGGAAAGCCTTCAGGAGCTGCAGACTTGTTTCCGCAAGTTCCATGGGGCCTCTGGGTTTTACTTGAAAATTTTCCACTTTGGTAAAAAGACAGAACTCTCTGTGGCCAAGATTGGATGTTTAGGTCTCAATCTCTGGTTAGCCCCAGTTCCCACATGAAATTTCTGGAAGGGGTTACTGTGCAGAGGACGGGCAGGATTAATAGAACTCTTCATCAGCCCTCTCTCTCACTTTCTTTGGCATCTCCTGGAAGTGCACTGAAAAGGATGCCACAGGAAGACAGGCGTCTTGACACTGGCTTTATCCCTTTTGCCAGCTGGTAGGGTTTCAAATCTGATAAGAGTTCAAAACTGTTTTCAGTGTACATTGCGTCTCCCCGGAGGAACTTCTGCCAGAGTCGGGACACGCACGCAAGTGTGTCTACAGAGGTATAAAGTGCTGTTTGCAGAACAGGCCATGCTGTTTTGGGTCTATGCTTGACTTTAAAAGAAAAAATTAAACCCTGACTGGTTTGGCTCAGCGGTAGAGCATCGGTCCACCGACCAAAGCGTCATGGGTTCGATTCTGGTCAAGGACATGCACCTTGGTTGTGGTTTGGGCTGCAGCCCTGTCGGGGTCATGCGGACATCGATGTTTCTCTCTCTCCCACTCTATCTAATGATAAGTGGAAAAAAGTATCCTCAGGTGAGGATTTAAAAAGAAAACAGTTAAATGGAATTTTCTCTCCATTTTCCCTTTCTTCCCCCTCCCATCCCCCATCTGTCTGTCCTTTGGTGCAGACCACCTGGGCTTGAAGGGCATGAGGACCACTCGTCACTGGTCCAGGATGTCTTCCTGAAGCGCCCGTGCCTCTTTCCGGGAGAGGACAGTTAAGGCTCCATCTCGGAGAGCTTTGTTCTTCTTCTCACCTTCCATGTTTCACGTTGGACAGAGTTAAAGGATTTTCCATCTCAAGCCCAACAGCTTGCCTCATCTGGCAAATGTCTGCAGATGGTTATGTGTAAGTTGGGGGCTGAGGGGCCGAACTGATTGTTCTCTAAGGCCTTCTCCAGCTCTCCCACTCTCGTATTCTGTGCTTGGACAGAGCTGAACTTAGGCACACAGGTCTTGCTCTAACACCCTTCCTACCTCCTTGCTCCATCACTTTATTCGCGAAACCCCTGTGACTGCAAAACTCTCTCCGATCTCCACTTCTCAGATTCACCCATGCCTTCCTTTTCTTCCATTGCGCCCGCACCCCAAATTCTCAGCTCTGCCTTCTCCGCTAGCATGCCTGCTCCCGCCGGCCCTTCCTGTGGGGTTGCACGCTGGTCAGCTGCATGCGTGAGGCTGCATCTGCGTGTGCTCGTGGTATATGTGCATCTGTTTACGCTGTAGTGTAACAATCATTAGGTCGTTCAGCTCACTCTTATGTAAGCCAATAATCATGGGTGTGAAAAAAGAATTACTTTTGTATACAAAGTAAATGGAATGCTCTGGGCGGTGACTTGACAAAAATGAGCTACAAAAATGGAAAAAGCAAAGGAAAAAATCCGACCGTAAATTTGAGGCAGCTGAGACAATTGTAAAAGCAAAATGGTGAGAACATCTAGAAGGATTATGTAACCCATTTACTGCATAAATGTCTTTAAATTCCAAAGCTGAGATGAACGAGCTGTACATGACAGATGCGGGTCCTGTCTGAAAGGCAGCATGGAGTCCCGTGTTGGCGAACACACATTCCTAGAAGGCCCTGGCCAGATCTCAAAGTATAGGCGAGTAAGTGCTTATTTAAATGTTTTAAGTCAAAATAAAATGTTTATGATATATTTGTATGATTTTTATTATTAAAAGCTTTGCCTGGTTTTTCAATTCATCACCCAATTCTTAATCCCGAACACATACAAT